GCCTTCAAAGTAAGTGGGCTCCCCGCTTAACTCCTCCCCAAACACAGCTCAAAAAACAAAAACAGCAATGTTGCATTTGAATTAGGTCTGTTTTACTACTCCCGCCACCGCCGTTGTTTGCGGATCCAAGACATCCCCAAACGTCCCAGTCCGTTTGGGTGGATCGTCTTTCAGTGCTCCTTACGTTTGAAAGAAACCTTTTGATGGCAGCCCTGTGACCAAACAGGGAAGGCAAGTAGACCAGCCATACTCGACCACAACAGTCTTGTGAAACACTGCAAATTAAAGGGCCCGTTCCTCTTTCCCTTACTTGTGAACATGGGCCTCTCTGTCTTTTTGGAGTTGGTACCTTTTGCCTTTGGCGGATTTCAAAGGGACACCAAAAGGAACACCCCTCATTTTGTCGGTGGGGTTCCAGCCTGAAAGATTTCGGCCGCGCCACCCTGAAAGAACCCGAACCATCCGCCAAGGTTTGCCACGTCCAGTGCAAACCATCCATTTTTGAGGGGTCAAACCTCAAAAGGCCGCTCCAATCCGAAGAAACGGGGACCATCGCCGAAGGTTTTGCCGCGTAGCCCGGAGTGCCCCGGAGCTTCCCCGGGGTCATTCCGGGTCTTCGCGCGGGGCAGCGGCGGCATCTCCAGGGAGGCCAGAGCCAGGCCATCGGATTGCACCACCTGTGTCTCACACCGGGACTCTACATGGTTGTGGCTCAAAAATCCGGGATTCCAAAACGGGTTGCCCTGCGTGGAAACATGGACCAAAACCTGCGGGTTGCCCCTCCTGTTTAATTTTGAGCCACAGTTCAATTGCACCTTCCTTGTTTTCGCGGGTCCCTCAGTTTCCCCCCTTTTGTAGACCCCCAGAGCTGGCGTTTTGGTTGGAACCCAGTAACATCAGAGACTCGACATGGCTGCGGTTGTCAAAACCAATGGGATCCCATTTTGGTTGCTAGGTGAATTCACCCATTTTGGAACCTATTTTAGTGGTTGGATTGGGATGTTCACTGAGGGGTATGGGTCAAAATTAAACCAGGAAATGGACCGCAGGCTTGGTTCCATTTACCAAGGGCAAGCCATTTTGAGTACCTGCTTTTGACTCACAGCCACATCTGAGCGCCATGAAATGGGGGGTGAATCTCCATAGTCATAGGGCTGTGGTTGTCAAAACCAAAGGGACTATTTTGGTTGGTAGGTGAATTCACAACCCATTTTAGAACCTATTTCCGTGGTTGGATTGGGATGTTCACCGGGGGCTAACCGGTATTTTGACCCATGGCCATAGATCCCCAAGCCATGGGGATCCTTTAACCCTTTAAAAAATTGCCTTCTGGGCGTATCCTTGGCTTATCCCCCCCATAACCTTGTAGGGGTCCATGACATAAGTTGGCGGAGAACCTCCCGCAGTTCCATTCATGGTCTTTTCCCCTCAAGAACCAAACAAACCTGAGCTGTCCGTTTTCGGATCCCCTGCCAAAAAGTGAAAAACTGTTAGTGGCTTAATTCAATGGACACCCAACGACTAAACCAACCAAAACAAGTAAAGGGAACCACCATGAAATGACAGAGGCCACCGCGTCAAACGTTGCATTGAAACGATCGAACACCGCTTTGGGAGGTTCCGAAAAGGGAAACGGAGGAAATTTTGAATCATCTTGGTATAGGAGAACATACAGCAGTGAAGTGTAAGCGTATCACTATTTCCCCAACAGCTGAAAATTCTGTGGATTCGAGAGGCCCAACAGGGATCCTTACATTTTACACCTGAACATTGCCTTGTCACTCTATTTTGGTGGAAAAAGCCATGTTTCAAATGAGCAAAATGTATCTTTTAAGCAGCCCTGCCCAATTATACAAGCTCTGGGCTGGTTCGGAGCGACTCCAGGTCAGGGTTCCGGAAATCTAGCTTCCCTCACTTTTGATCTGTCAAAATTGATGGTTTGGAGCTTAGGGTTGGTTTCCCATTTGGCCATGGGTCAAAAGCCAAATCGTAGCCCCAGTGAACATCCCAATCCCCATTAAAATAGCCTAAAATGGGTGGTGCACCTAGCCCAAAATGGGATCCCATTGGTGTTGACCTATGGCCATTTCTCCAATGTTACTGGGTTCCAACAAAAACGCCAATTGTGGAGGTCTACAAAAGGGGGGAAACTGAGGGACCCGTGAAAACAAGGAAGGTGCAATTGAACTCGGTCGGTCAGCGTCTCTCCGAGATTGGGCGCTCCTTTGTTCAGGCTAGGAAGTCCAAGCTCAACCTTGGCCTACATTTGGGGCACACAGTAAACATTATCTTCAGACTATGTCTCACACTTTCTGTGTGCGTATTAACTAAGTATGTTCTCATCGATGGCCCTAGCAATAAAAACAAGCTCATGATCTGTAAGTATGAATATAATGTTTTGTATGTGTCCACCCAGAAACCCAGACCCAGGAGCGCCCAGACCAAACCTAACGATCTTATTGCGCCCAGACCCAACAAAGGCACGACTGGGTCGCACAAACTCCCAGCAAAAAGCGTTGCTTCTCGGCTCGCTTCTCGGCTCGCGCCTCCACATCCCAGGCGTTGGGATTCCGGTGCAGCGCCGCGCGGATGTGGAAGCTGTCCAAAAAGTGCCGGGCCGCCTCCAGCACCTCCCCAGAAATCGGATCGGATCGGTGGCGGGTGACTGAGGTCAAAAGACTCCGAACAAGTCCAACCTATCCCTGAAGTTAAAGAAAGGGAATTGAGGGGAGGGGGGGTAATTGCTGGAATCCCATTGAAACCTGGTACCACGGGGTTCAAACATTCAAACAATGGGGGTCAGTAGTCCATTTGCCTAAGGATGTCTGAACCTCGGGGGGGGTTGTTGATGTATAAGGCCATGTCCTGGTTGACTTTCCTGGCGGTAGTTTAATATCTCACGGTCTAAGTGAGTTCTTTAAGGCCATGGCTGTCCGTCTGAATAGCTAAAAACCTAAAGACCCAAGGAGACGGCTGGAGCCACCAAGCCAAATCCAGTGGGGGAGGGGGGTTCCCGATTTCATTCCTCCAGTCTTCCCACGAAAAGAGAACATGGGTTGCCATAAATGGAATTCCAGAGGTTACCCCCCTCCCCCAATTATTTGTTTAAGGGGGTAGGGATAGGCATCCCAAATTCCATGTTGAGTTCTGTAAGGACATGGCTGTCCTTTTCCGATCCGCAGCTAACGGTGAATAACTTCCTGAAAGCCTAAAACCGAAGGGGACGGTGGGGAGGCACCAAGCTAAGTGAGTTCTGTAAGGACATGGTAGTGTATGGACTTTTAAGAAACCCTGGTTGACTTTTTCGAGTCTTCGCTTCCGATCGAATGGACCGGACAAGATCAAGTAACCAAACGTGTCTTTTGCCACTTGACAAACCCTGGTTGATTTGTTGAATGGTACCATTTTGGGGTAGGTGCACTACCCATTTTAGTCCATTTCAGTGGAGATTGGGATGTTCACTGGGGGTACGGGCTTTTGACCCATGGCCAAGTTTCTTCAGAGCATTTTGGGCTAACCCCTGGCTGATTTTCATGGGTGTGTGCCTTTTTAGTTGGATTTCTGAGTCCACTGCGGTGTTCCTCCCCATATTCATCAGAGTCACGGGTGATCCGCCAGCTTGGAAGACGCTTCTTGTTCCAAGCCTTACTACTCCAAAAGGGCAGTCCCCATAGGTGTCCTTTTAGGGGAAATAGATGGGTTTCCCTGGTAGATGATTAAACCACCAGGTAAACCAGGAATCGCAATCTATGTTTCTACCAAAACAACCTAAAAGGACACCTAAGGCGGTCCCTGTTTGGCCAACCCCAAGCCGATCGTTTGTTTGCCTCCACTTTCAGCCTGTTCGTTGGGACCAAATAACAAACAGGAGGTGAAAGTGTCAAAGCAAAAGGGCCACGCCCCACGACCCATACCCTTCACGGAAACAAGATATCTGAGAGCCAGGAATCCTCTAACCCCTGGCTCTTCCGACCGCAAAAGTGGCAGGTCAGTTGGTTCTAAACTTACGCGGGCCCTAAGACCAGCTTGCCGCGTAGCCTGGACCCAAACAAGATGCTTGTGACCTGACGTGCCAAGACAAGGCTCCATGTGGCTGAATATCTAAGCGGCGTCTGATTCTGCGGAATCAAAGCAGCCCCACCTGCTACTGCTGGGGTCGAGCTGCTTCGCGTTCATTGGTCGGAGACGGTTGCAAGTTACAAGAAGATGCTGCATGCCCTTGCAAGTACACCCGCCGTACTCGACCAACACCATGATAGCACATGGTAAGTTAGAGCGCTTCTTCTTCCTTCACTTGATACATATGTAGATGTATAATGTTGTCTATATATATATATATATCAGACGGACGCACACACACACACACACACACCACACACCACACACCACACACCACACACACCACACACACACCCACACACCACTACTGCTTGAGAGAAAGTGATGTTCCAGGGGCCAAGCCGGGTTCCCTGTGGACGGGTAGGGCTGAGTCATATTCTAGCGGTTTGGGGTTGTGCAAACCGTCTTAGACAGGTGCCTCTTGTTGTGTGATCTGCGATCTATGCGAGTCGCGGTCGGTACTACATGTACCCCAATGACACCGGATGTTTGCAAAACCCAGTTGCGAGTCAAGAATCTCAGGTCAATCTTGAGCATTGCTCCTGTTTAAGGGCAATGACTTCATTTTTGAGCACGGAAGGTATGGGCCAAACTACCCCCCCCCCCCCAATGGGAAATCAACACAATGTGAGCCACAATCAAAACCCGCGTTCATTGATTTGGGCCCATTTTAATACTGATACTAGGTTTTGATTGTGACTCATGTGTTCTTCCAGCACAGCCAACACATGGCTTCATGGATCAAGCCCTCCCTGGACCGCACGCGTCAGGCGTTGAAGCCGCAAATAGCTCTTTGGTCCGGCTTTTGCGTTCTGACTGGTCCCACAAGTCTTTGAACACTGAGGGTGAGACGATTCGAACATTAACTTGATCTCCTGATCTCAGTCTAAGTCCATATCTCTGGGATTGTCCGGGTTTTCCTCCTTCTTCTCCTCTTTCTCCTCCTTCTCGTCCTTTGCTCGATGGCAAACGAAACGCTGCGAAAAGATATTTCGTTGCTTGCTAGCTAGTGGGTGAAGAGTCATTGGCCTGTCGTACCCTCCTTGTCATTGTCTTCAAAAAGTTCCTTCTCTCCCGAAAGTGAAATGACCAAAACACATGCAGGAAGCAAGCAAGACGTTTTCTAAAACCCACTTGCCCAAAGCACCTGGAAGTGGTTGGGGGCCATGACTAACAATGGAACAAACACGGAGAACCAAAAGCTCAAAAGGTCGATTCATCGTGGGCAACTAAGACAAAGAACAATGGCATGAGCTACATCATGTAGGTGTTTTTTTGTTAAAGGGACCAAATCCTGATGTTTAAGCCAGTTTTGCCCTGCTCTGACCTTCTTCTCCTCCTCCTCTTTCTCCTCCTTGTCCCCGTTCTCTTCTTTCTCCTCAGGATCTTCCGCCTTCTCTTCATCAATCTGATCAGGGCATCAACTGGGGGACATCCCACCCCTTGTGTTAGCCTTGGTAAAGAGGCACCAAACTAAGTGGAACCACGGGTGCAACCTGGAGTCCACGAAAGGCGAAAACCAAATCACTTCCCGGCCACCCGCCGACACAAACCTTGGAATGCCGCGCTGCCGTTGTGTTTGTGCAAAGGGCACCAACAAAAATTGCTCAACCATTTGCTTGTCCCAACATAGGTCTTTGAGCGGCCCCAGTTTACACATAGCGCCGCGTTTCAACTCACTGTGCCAAAGCGAGTTCGTTCTCGGATCTTCGGCGAGGGGGAACTGGGAAGCGGAACGCATGGAACGCTTGGCGGGTCATCAACTTTCTACCAACTTGACCTAACAAGGCGCCCCTCTGGATGGACGAAATCCATGTTGCAAACGTGGAAACCATTGTTTGTTTTGTTCAGACAGTGCATTTCGCCATCCCGAGCTGGAGGAGTCTGTGATGGAGAGGTAGCTCACTTCCTGAGTGGATTTGCCAACAAACCATAAACTTGTTATTTACAACTAAAATGGTCCAAACCCAAAAAGTGACTAGAGTCCATGAACTCAGGAAGTGACGTAATATATTCCCATGATGTGTGGACCGAAACTGGCGATGCGGTTGATTTCCTTAACTTTAAACCGAGCCTCAGGTGCCCCGGCCCAGAAATTAAAGCTTCACCTTCTGGGGCCACAAGTTGACAAGGTCAGATCCGATCCATTCGCCTTCAAAGGGAAAACTGTTCGAGCCTCAAAGAAATCAAGCCACACCCATTCTCACTTCCCTGATTGGCAAAAAGCAGCCAAACTTTGTCTTGGCCATCAAAATGGCTGCCTTGCTGGATTGATTGATTGGTTGATTGATTGATTGCTTGCTTGCTTGCTTGATTGATTGATTGACTGATTGCTTGCTTGCTTGATTGCTTGACTGCTTGATTCGTTGGTTGTTTGTGTGTGTGTGTCTGTTTGTTTGTTGTCTGTTTGCTTGTTTTTGTTTGCTTGCTTGTTTGCTTGTTTGTTTGTTTCTGAAGTTGCAACCCCACAAAATGGCTAAGGCTGCATGAGGCCATGGTCCTGGAACCGTCTTCACCTCGCCTCTTGCCAAACGCTTCTTCAAACTACGGCAGGAGGGTACCACTCGCCATGGTACCACTCACATCATGGGTATAGCCTACTTACCTTGGCCACCTGGGGCTCGCAAAAAAAAAAAGAGTTTGGAGTATGTTTCATTTTTTTGTCTGCCCTACAATAATAGAAACCCGTTTTAGAGGAGCCCGCCGTGACGTTGGTTGAACATCCACTGGTCTTTTCTGGGTGCCCCTCTGACGGCCATCTTCGTTGCTGTTGACCCCCCTGCAAAAAGTTTATATAATTTTTCGGGGTTTAGTGGAAAACCCTTGATTTCAACCAAAAAGTTAAAGTCTAAAGATCCGTTACCCAATAGCAGTCAAGGCCCTCTCGCCTCGATGTTCTCCTTCTTTTCCCTCGGCTTCGGCTCCTTCAAAATGGCGTCCGCCATCTTGGCCAGCTCCTGGTTCTTGCTGTCCTTTGCTGGCAAAAAGGGAAGAAGCCGCACAAGTGCCGAGAGAGGAATTTACTTGGCCATGGGTCAAAAGCCAAATCCAGGTCCAGTGAACATCCTAATCCCCACTAAAATTGGTTCTAAAATGGGTGGTGCACCTACCCCAAAATGAGATTCCTTTGGTTTTGACCCACAGCCACTTGAGAAAGTGAGTCTTTGAGGACACCCTTCCTTAGGTTTCTCATCATGGGTATAATGTCCTAAGTCATTGGATTCAGACCCCGTCCCCTAATCCCCCTCCCCCCGGCTGTTTCCCGAGAAAACCCAATAAGGCTAACGCCGCATTTGGAGGAAACCTAGCGGCCGTGAAATGGAATCCAGAACGAAGAAAGGGGGCTACGGAGAAGGGCGCTACTAGAATGAGCTAAGGATAAGCCCAGGACAAGCTTTCAAAAAGGTCTTATAAAGCGATACGTGCCACACTTAGTACTTATTGATTGTGCCCCCAGCAGGGAAGCAGGGCTCACAGGATTTCCCGTTCAAAAGTTGCAATTTACTGGTGGCTGCCACTTGAAACTGCCACTTTTGGAGGCTCCAAAAAGAGAAATGGAGTAAACCCTGATCTCACAAGGTGTCCTATTGCTTTGGCTTAATGGAAGCCCAAATCATCAGAGGTTTCACCAGAATCACTCATTTCTAGAAGGAATCTGCCCTCTGGGCCCAGCAAATTGGCGTTCATGTGTTTTAGCACGTAGATTATTGATTGTGTCCGCAACGACTGTGATGTTGGCGAACCCCCTTTTCCTAATGGCATTTTGGTGAGTCCCCATGTCATCCCCTTTGCTACGGGATGACCGTACCTCATATTGCTGGTGTACTACCACCATCATGAATGGTGAAAGGGAAACCTTTCAACCTAGCAAATCAAGGGCAAACACAAATCAAGCTCTTATTCTGCAATAATCATATGGGGGTGTCTTTGTTTCAGGGTACCCTTTCGGGGGTTAGAGGGCAACAAGAGGTCTCTAAAAAACGCAACACGCACACTCTCACACGCACACCCATACATTTCACCAACCTGACTAAACCACAAAAAGTCCCAGGTAAAGGGCCCGAGAACGTTCTTTTTCCTCCTGCCCGCTGGTGACCCAGTGCATCATAGTGCTGTTCAAAGGTGGCTGTGGCTCAAATAAATGTACCAAAATGGCAGCTTGGTAAATGGAACCAAAGACAAAAAGCTGCGTAACCCTAGCTCTTGAAATTTGAGCCACACCCAGGTGGGTTTACGGACAATCTCAATCTCGAAAAGTAATTCAAGTCTGGGAACAAACAAGGAACCACGCACACCAAAACAAGTTGGAAACTCAGACAGCAGAGTTGGTTTAAAGAAAAGAAAAAAAAATCACAAGGGTAGAAGGGTGGTTGAGGAGCAACTTGAGCAACTTGAAAAGGAGAACCTCTAACTCAGTGGCTTGTTTTCCCTTGCCATAAGTTAAACGTTGTTTAGCGGGACATGCCAGAAATCCTTTAAAACATTAAGCATCTCAAAGTCTAACGGCTGAGAACTACACTTTGAGGGGTCTCTCTATTTTCCCGAGCGAGTCCAAAAGCCAACACAGGGTTGCTCACGGGGGGGGGGGGGGGCACAAACACAGACACACAAGCGCGCACAAACAACACACCTATCTCCATGGTTGTGGAACGTGAGCGGGATCCCGACGCTTACAACGCCGCCTTGCAACCCTAAACACAATATAGAACGTATCCCCTTGCTTTTGTCGTGATGCTTACAACCAACACAACCAACTCCTCACCCTTCCATCTAGGAGCTGATCCTCTTTCAAATCCCAGTCACGGGCGATTTCAGGCATGGCTTGGATGCATTGATTTCAAGGGAAATCAGAAGGACAACCACAAGTTGTACCCCTACACAAACTCACAGAAGTGCTAGTATGGGTCCCTTTTATCCTTGTCCCAGCCTTCACTTTTGCCCCCAGTTTGGTGGGGGTGGATGCCAACGTATTGACACCCAGCAGAAAAAGAGTGGGACCCCCCAGTCGTGTTCAAAAAAAACAGGATCGAGGTGTTTTTTCTTTAGAACCACCTGTCGCTCACTCACTTGCTTGCTTGCTTAGTCTGTGAAGCAACACCCAAATGATGATCCAAAATGAGGAATGTCAAAATAGACACGGCTGGTGTATTTAAAAAACGGTTCCCATTTTGGGGCGATTCGGGGATCTAGGGCAACTTCCAAGTTGTTGTTCTGGGGATCCGTTTCAGAAAGCCTCAAAACGTGAACTGATTTCTGAGAACATCTATGTGGGCGCGTCTTTTTAGGAATCGGACCCGTTTTGGTTTCCTTCAGTCAAACATCTCCCCCAAAAGGAAACGTGTTGATGCGGCTTCCACGCCCTCGATGCGCACCGACATGAGCACACCAAACGCGGTTTTGCCTGTTGCGCATATAGAGTTACAAGGGTGTTTTTTGAAGGGATATACCTTTTTTAAAGCTTGTCTTAAACGGAAAACAAGAGGAAACAAGTTTATGTGTTCGGGAGGGGGGTCCCCAAAAAAAAACAGAACGCACCTATGGCGGCAGTACGGCTGGAAGATCGGCCAACATGTCTAGCCTGTAGCTGAAGCGAACACACTGGAATGGCAACTTGAACCTGCTAATATCGACCAAAAACTTATAAACCGGGTTCCCAGTAGCTTAGTTGGCAGGCATACACTCGAAAAACACATCAGACACACGCTCCGGCACTTGGCATTACGCTGGCCGGCCTTGATTGCGGCTGGTGAAAAGACAGGCGAGGGGGTCGGGTCTGTCTGCCCCCACACATGTTCCACGCAGATTTTGCATTTGAACTTGGTTTGAATTGATTTACAAGTACACCCACCCCACCCCACCGCACCCCATCCCACCCCACCCCACCCCACCCACCCACCCACCCACCCAACCAACCAGCTGCCATTTCTTGGGGGGTTGAGCGATACGGGGTGTAAGGGTGCAAGCGACGCAGGAACGCTGGGGGCGCGGTGAAGTTGGCGAGGCAGGGCATGCTGGCGACTGCCAGGGGCGATTTGCATGGTATTTACAGTGTTTGTGAAGGTTGGGCATTGTGGCATTAGGAGGCCAGGGCTGGCTTTACATACATAATCAGTTGGAAATGAGCTTCAACTTGATGTTATATTACATGTCTCTTGCTGAAAAAATGCCCAGGATCCCACCCACCAAGGGGGTAGTTCTCTGGGCCCCAATTTTGGTCGCCGTATGAAACCCTTGCTTAGCCAACACGGCTCCAAAATCAAAATGCCACTTGCAAAATCGAAATGCCAACTGCAAAAACAGAAGCCACCTGCCAAATCAAACCCTCACCAAATGAAAAGCGCCAATTCCTACTGAAAGTCCAACTCCTGTGTAATGAACCTTAGCCGAAATGGCTCCCAAATCCAAACGGCACTTACAAAGTCAAAACCCAACTGCAAAAACAGAAACCGCCTGCAAAGTCAAAGCGCCACCTCCAGATCTTAGATGAAAGTCCAGCTCCCACTTCATGCAACCACTGTTTGCCCACAAAGCTGCACAAGTGAAAATCCCGCTGACAAAATCAATCAAACGCCAAAGCAGAAGCCACCTGCCAAGCCAAAACGCCTCCTAGTAAATGTCCAACGCCTACACAATGCAGCCGCTTGCCGAACCAGCTACAAGAAGTGCTGTTAGGCCGCCTACGAGATCAGATCAAACAGCCAAGCCACTGACAAGGGTGTACCAGCTCCAAAGAAGACACACGGGGAGTCCCCGACTTGTGCAACACCAAACTTTCCAACAAGTCTAGACTGCATTTCTCACTCCTTGCTTAGGGGCTGGAGCCCAAATACATGTGTAAATTGTCTGGAACGGGTCCGGGGCATTTGCAGAGGGGTTTTGGAGGTATGGAGGTGATATTGACTGCCTTTTTTCGCTTATAGATGGTGGATAGAACTAGAAAGGGTGAGTGGATTGGCTGAAACAAATCCAAACCTTTGCTTTGCCACCACAAAAAAATGGCCCCAAAAAGTGCCTCAAGCGCAAGAACTCGGAACATGAGGACGTAGCCGAGGGTCCATGTCGCCGCAAATCAAAACCGGCTTCTGGTGCTTGGGCAAGGCCTCCTGCTTCGCCTTCCGATCCAGCAGCCACGTTTCCAGAGCCTGGCAGGCCGTCAAAATCTTCCCCAGCTTCTCCGGCGCGATGTGCCCGTACCTCGAATCCACCGGGGAAGAAAATCTGGTGATTCTGGTTACATGGGTGATTCTGGTGATTCTGGTTGAATGGGTGTGTCCCTTTTTCGCGGAGGTTGAGACGGTTTAACACTCAGTCCCTGAGTTGATGAGACACAACCATACTACTGACATATGAACTAGTTACAAGAAGACCCCAGGTACCTCAGCGAGAATTACGCACCATGGTCACTGTCAGACCCGAGCCGTAACAGGGTACTAGAGTCTAAATCAATAGAATGGGGCTGTGGGGTGCTTTGAAACCAACTGATGACCCCTTGCTTTTGCGTAATGTCTCATTAGTAGTGACCCCTTTCTTGAAAGTGTCATGGCGACTCCAAGTAGGACAAACATATTGTATGCGACCAAAGATTCGCTTTCCTGTTAGCTTCCTTTTAGTTGAAGCCACCCAATAAATGTTGGGCACCACGGAACAAAAAAAGGGAGGAAAAAAACGCTCACTCGAGTTTCAGCGGAAAACGGAACAACATGGAGACCTGGTGATACAGGGCAACGGCTTTTTCCCAGGTAAGCTAGACTCTCGCTTTGGTGTCCCTTTGGCCCAGGAAAAGCGGTCAAAGATTGGTTGCTGTCGAGACCCCTCTGCAAAACTCGAGTGGTGTCCTGTGGGTTCGAAGGAAAACCCTTGAAATCCCAAAAACTTCAATGATCTAATCCAATAGCAATCAAGACACACCAGGCTTTAGTCTGCTCATAAACATGTTCAAACTTCTCTCATAGAGCAACCGCCCCCCCCTTTTTTGGTTTGGGCTTCCCTTTGGGCTTCCCCTTGAAACAACCCCAAGAAGGGGCTCCCCCCCGCCCCAAAAGACAACATACATACATACATATTTTTTCGAGGAGTCCAATAATAACATTCCCTGGGCTCTCAACTACCCCCCCCCCCTGCCCCCCTTAGATGGGATTCCATAAAGGTACGCAGTGGATGCCAGCTACCTATCCAGCAAGCAACCAGCCATTTAACCCGGTGGCTTTTCTACAGGCTGATCTTTGTTTGTCGACTTTGGAAGGGGAGCCAAAATCTAAATGGTTGGGTTTCAGCCACCAAACCACAAGACGCAGAAATGCAAAAAGGCTTCCCACCAACAACCACGTTTTTGGGGGTTCCCTCCCAACAACTCGCGGCCTCCAGTATGGTACCAGCCATTCTCCCTTTTGAAGGCTGCTTTCCTTGGGTGTTCCCTCCCAAAAATAAAATAACCAACGAAAAATCACCGGGGCCACGTCCGTTGTGTTTCTTCTTTTTTGGTTGTGTTTTTGTTTTTTGTTGTGTTTTCCTCTCTTCTTATTTTTTTTCGCGGGCAAGGCGCTTCTCTCCCGGCTGCTCGGCGGCCTTGCGGTAGTTGGCGATGGTGCCCTGGACGGCCTCGCGCGCCACTTGCGGAGATCCGCGCCCGGGCTTTGAGTGTGGTTGGACCAAAAGCAAAAACAGGGAAGAGAAATCTCACCCATTTTAGGACACCCAAAGCGAATCAACTTTTTGACCTTTTTGTGTTTCCATTTGGTCCATCTTTAGTAGAGGTGCCAAAAGGTGATCACCTTTTATTCCTGGGTCCAAACTGGGCAACCGACTTAAGAGTTTGTCAAGGGGAACCATTGCAGCTCTTCATAGTTTGACTATTGGTGACCCCTTGATATGGCTCTGAGTCTGTGCTAGATATAGGCTCACTTCCAGACTTCGTGGAATTTCTCTTCATTTTAGTGGCCAACAAGATCCTGGACGTTTTTTGGCCAATCCACTCCTTTTTGGCTAGGTCCCCCAGCTAAGTGCCCTTTTACCCTTCTTTGGTTGGGGGGGCTCCCCTACTAACAAAAACAAAAAACATCGGGAACCCTTGTTTGAACCTCTCTACTGGAGGACCTAGCCCAGGTTGGACTCCCCCAACAAAATGAGGGGGTTTCCTTTTGGTGTGCCCTTCTCCTTTTGGATCGGACGTGAGTAGGTCCTTTGCGTCCCACTGAGAAGCGTCGTGTCCGAAGCGAAAAGACGTCCCACGACGCGACGTGGAACCCGAGCCTCAAAAAGACACCCCCAAATCGGTGCGCTTTTGGACAAATCCGCCCAGGGGGCCCAGCTCTCCTCTTGAAAAGACAAGGCGCAGGAAAAGGGTGGCGGCAAATCGTGCTGGGGACGCTATCTTTGCATCTCTTTTAGCTGACCAAAAGGGGTTGGGACGTTTTGTCGGTCGAAGCTACTGGTTTCAGTTTGGTTCCAGAATCCCCCCCTTGAAATTGGAATTGGGGGAGGGGTGACCCTAAAATTGGATTTATGGTTCCGTGCCTTTGTGGGGAAAACTACATGAATTGGGAGAGCCCCCACCCCCCTCCCTCTCGAGGCAGGGTGTTGCAGCCCCCTACTCAAAATGAACAGAAGAGGCAAAAAAACATGCCAACCACTCTAACCTACTCTAAAACCCAACCACATGCCAACAACAGTGCAGCACAAGACCCACCAATCTGCACCAAGTACTTGATTTATTCAGGTCTGTGTTTTTTCGAGGATACCTTTTCCGGCTGTCTTAAAGGGAAGCAAAAGGAAACTCTCAATTTTGGCCCCTATTTCAACACATACCCGAATGGAGGGTCTGGAAAAATTGGGACATTGTCGATCCATGTTCAACAGCGCTATTTTGGAGTGGAACGGGGTGGAACATATTTTGTCTGGTCTTACCCAGACCCCTCATCTCCTTTTGGTTTCATTTAGGGGTAATCAACAACTAAGAGGGTGCATCTTGTTCTTACCGAGGTGTGTGTGGTTTTACAAACCACATGGACAACCACAAAAACATGTGTGCCATTTGTGAGGGCCACCCCTTTTTTGGTGGCGGATGTTTTCTCTTAAGGGAAACCAATGAAGAAAACCACCATTTTGGGGGGGGGGATTTTCAGGCAAGCCCCAGCTTCGCCGCTTCGACGGTGCCAAGTCGTGTGAGTTGGTACGCTGTTCTTTTTGAAGGCAAACAAAACAGGAAAACCACAAGCTTTGGGCTACCCCCAAGTTTGACACTCTTGATTTGGGGCGTTTTTTCTTAGAGCACCCCCAAAATTGTGGCTATCTTTATTAGTGTCCCTTTACAACCACAACCACCAAAAAGCGACACACATTTGAGCGAGACAATTACAAAGGTTTCTGGAGGACATTGGACAATTGGGGGTATCGCCCCATGCGCTCCACAAACTAACAGTGGACTAACACTCTGTGTGTGTGCGTGTTTTTTACTAATGCAAGTCACATATATGTTGAAAAGGGAGTGATGAACATCCAGTGAGTCCCCAGTTTTCTTCCGCAGACCGCGGATTAACAGCAAACTCCAAGCACATGAGTCACTTGTTCATGCAAGTTCCCCTCCTCGACATCCCATCCTGGCCTTGATCCACTCATCACGCATGGATGCCTCTTTGTATCTCCACTGCACTGGGTCACCCAGGCTTTTGAGCTCATCCAGCTTGTCGATGTATTGAACCTGTTCGTTGGGGGCGTTGTGTCTCCTTCTTGGGGGGGTCCCCGTTAGGTCGACAAACCCCACGCACACGCACACACACACACACACACATGTTTGTTCAAGGGAAAAGCGATACATGAAGTCTGTTGGAAATCGCATGTCAACATACAAGCAAAAACACCTAAATACGGTTGGGTGTGGGTAGATGGCACAATGCAGCCCTTTGGTTTAGTCATATTCGCTCCTCCTAACAGGCCACGCTTTCAGGGGTAACCTCTCCTGATCAAGTAATCCATTAAAAAATGAGTGGGGACCTCCAAAAAATTAGTGGTTTTCCTGTCCCAGATCCAGGTAACATAAAAAGGGTGGATTCCGGCTCATGTTGACCTGCGGGTCACATTATTGGGGCATCCCTATAATATGCAACCCCTTTGAAGGGTTTCGACTCCAAACACACGTGAGCTAAATCTGTGCGGCAGTCTCCCAGATCCGACAAAGCAACAAGATATCAACCAACAAATGATTTGAAAGCGCCTCCTCATGTTGGGACACCAAAAAAACATTGGTCCAACCGGCTCTGATGAAAATCCATTGGCCCCCATGTCTTGCGACCCGCGAGCGAGATGCTTTGGTGCCAGCGGCCGAAACCAAACCCAAAGCAGGCTAACATTCAGCTCTCTCCCAAGCCTTATACACGGCTAGTGCTTTATCAGGAAGAGGTGAAACCAGGAGAGGCGATGCTTCAACGTCCTCTTTGGTAAGATTGGCCTCGTGTTTGGAGCTCCATTGTGTAAACACTGCATGATTACTGTTACTTGTTCTCCCACTACTAATTCCATCATTTATGTAGTTACCTGTTCATCAATAACATCTCGTGGATTGTATGATCTTCATAATCATACTCCGACTCATCTTTCAGGTGCCTGGCCAACGCCGCCGCGTTTCTTTTGGTAAAGTTGGACCTCATGGTTGGACGCGTGAACATAGCTGTCCTTTTAGGGGAAATAGATGGGTTTCCCTGGTTGATGATTAAACCACCAGGTAAACCAGGAATCGCCATCTACTTTTCTACCAAAACAACCAATAAGGACACCTACTGTGGATGGACGAAGTCCTGCACCACCCAAGAAACCCTGGAATGCTGCAAATACCAACAAACAATGGTGTCAACCATGGTTGATTGGGTGCGAAATGGACTTCGTCCATCTGCAGTATGGGTGCGGAAACGGGGTGGTCAACCGTTTGGAGGCAAAAACCGCGGGGCCCCGCCTTGGTGCCGTCGAAGTGGTCGTAGAGCCAATCCTCAGCCTTCTGGAGCTCCTCGATCGAGGGAAAAGAATCCGATCGAGCCAATCAATAGAACAACGCCGCCGGGCCGCAAAAAAACACAACTGAAACACGCGGAAACACGGGGAAACGTGAGGAAACACAAGGACATATGGGAAACACAAGGAAACCAAGCACTACTTGTCAGTTGCTAAGCTTGCTTGAGGGTTTGATGAAGTGGGGCCCTTTTGCTTCACCTTTTGTTCACCTGGGCCCTTTCAGTCCTCCTACAGCCCCCTCCCCCCATTAAACACTGCAAGGTCAAACCAATCCTGGTGTGATACTGTGAAGGAGCGGAATCCTGCACGGACTTGGAAACCATGGAAACCATGGTTGGTTTGTGTTTGCGTCCATCCACAGATAACGTCAATGAGGGGCACAAGTGGTCCAAAAGTCGGGGCCTAAGCGAACCTGTCACAGACAGACACAGACGCAGACACAGACAGAGACAGAGACAGAGACAGACGGAGACAGACAAACAGACAGGACAGAGAGACGGACAGAGAGACAGACAAACAAACAGACAAACAAACAGACAGACAGACAGACAGAGAGACGGACAGAAAGACAGACAGAGAGACGGACAGAGAGACAGACAAGCAAACAGACAGACAGACAGACAGACAGACAGACAGACAGACAGACAGACAGACAGACAGACAGACAGACACAAACACAGACACAGACACAGACACAGACAGAGACAGCGACAGAGACAGACGGAGACAGACAGACAGACAGACAGACAGACAGACAGACAGACAGACGGACGGACGGACGGACGGACGGACGGACGGACGGACGGACAGACGGACAGACGGACAGAGAGACGGACAGACGGACAGAGAGACGGACAGACGGACAGAGAGACAAACAAACAGACAGACAGACAGACAGACAGACAGACAGACAGACAGACAGACAGACAGACAGACAGACAGGCAGACAAACAGGCAGGCAGGCAGGCAGGCAGGCAAGCAGGCAACCACATGTTTGAGGCGTTCGTGTCATGCGATCCGGAGCTCAAATCCTTCGGAGTTTCGATCTTCGATTCGGTCCTTCTCGAAGTTCTCCTTCTCGGCCGGGGTGATATAGGGCCCCCACTCATCGCAGACCTGTCGAGACTTCAACTCGACGAAAACCCCCCCGGTTGCATAGCTGTCCCCTAGGGTTCAGTTGCCACCATTACAACAATGGGGGTTAATATAACCACCGTTGCTTATCTAGGGGTTTCATCATCCAAATTGGATCAACCATTCTTTGAATGGGAATCGGTTGAACCCGGGGTGTTCTTTTGGACAAATAGATAGATCTGGTAAAGGATTACAACCAGCCTCCGACCAGTGCCACCTATCTTTAAACCAAACTGACCTAACAAGGCCACCTTTGTTCTGTGGGTTGGACCCCGCCCTTGCGGGGCTGGCTTTGGGGACCTTGGGTTTCACCACCCCCGCGCTGTAAGACCATCCCAACCTCCATTTGGGGAAAAGGCCCCAGGAAAAAGAAAAACTTATTTCCAGTAGAACTCCTTTAAAAACCAACGGAAAGAAAACAAAAAAAACATATTCTTAAGCAAATGGAGGCCAAGGCCGCCTTGTTGCGGGCCGTGAAGATGTAGCCCTCGAGATCGTTCTTCTTCTCGTCCGTCTCGATGACCTGACGACCACGGCCTACCCTCAACCACCCAACCCCCCAACCCCCCGCCGGATTTTTCCTGAGCGGGCTGGCCAAAACAAGCCACCAAACTTGTGGCTCGCCACTAAAACGGTCTTCTGCTCAACAAGCACATGAAGTCCAAGAACTCAGGGAGTGAGCCCCGAACCGCCCAACCCCACTCCCGCCCTTGTTTCCCCAAACGCAAGAACCAATTTCAACACAAACGACCGTCCGTTGCAACATGAACAGAACCTAAAAGGCAAACAAGAGAAAAAACACGCGCCAACAACATGACAACTTCCCAGCTCTGCAAGAAAAAAGCTGTTATGACGGTGGTTCTCCTTTTGTTGTTCCTTTAAACACACAAACAAACATATGTTCCAACAAACACATCCCACCGAGGCGCACCAGCAAAAGGGGTTTGGTGTGGATGTTCTATTGTTCGCTCAGCTTTTGCCGAGAAAAAATGTCCTTCTATCCCATACTCCAAATGAAACATGTAATGTTAACCCCGGATTAATAAACCGCCGGTTGATTAATAAGGGGTGTCCCCTTTTAGTGGGGATTCGGACCACTTTTGGAGGGAACACCCCCCTAATACTGGGACGGGTTCTACTTAGATCCCGGGTCAACATTAAAGCAAATTCAAGATAAATCCTAAGCTCTTGGACATTTGAAGAAAAGAAGGCTCCATTTTTCTGGTGCGGGCTGGACCTCTTCGTTTGCCGGAGCTGTTTATGACCAAAACAGCTTGGGGCTTGAACAAACAACGCGATCGGATCGAGTTCCGCCTGGATGTCCCTTAAAGTGAACATGTGCAGTGCTCAAAATTGCTAGCGGGTTCCTATGATTTCCGCTTGAAGAACACATTTAGCAAAAGTCATTCGACGAAGCTGTCTTACTTAAATGGAGCCAGTCGTAGATCGAGCTCTCCGATTGGTGTCGAAATAGGGGGACCCCACAAACAGGTGGTCCCTTCATTTTCCCGAGAAGCCAGCTCAAAAACATCAGCTCGGCTTCGTTTGCACCAGCAAGAACTTGTTTGAAAGAAAATAGGTCTTACAAGTGCCAAAAGTCCAGGAACTGAGGGAGTAAGTTTTTCACATCAACACAAAGAACACACAACACGTTCAAGTTGATTCTCAGCAGAGAATCTAGGAATGACCCCTACAAACCATCCCCCATGGTTTCCTTTAAGGAAATCCCCAGGCTAATGCCCGCTGACTCGGTCATCCCCCATCCTTCGCACCAGCAAAAAAGACACGGCGATCGCCAACCCCGAAAGCAGTCCGCCCATCCAGGGGAAAAAATACTCCACGGGCGCCGGTCCAGTTTTTGGCCAGACCTCGCATTCGCGAAAGCCGCGACGCGGCATGCGACATGCGGCGCGACCCGCGAAAACCACGGCGACGCGACATGCGACGCGCAAACCGCGGTCGCCTCCTTCATCTCCGCCTGCATTGCCGTCTCCTCGTCTTGGCGCTTCTGCAGCTCCGCGGCCGAGAGCCCCGGCCTCGGGACACAAGAACTCCACATGCACCCGGTGGAAGGTGCGTCAGAACTGGGGGGGCACTTCTTGGCATCCCCAACAAAAAGCCGGCACCAAGTCCCCGTAATTTTTGGACAACACTCCAGTGGGTCACCCCAGTCCGGATCCCACATGCTACGAAGCCACGATTGTTTACTCTACTCCTGGTATGGCTTGGCGAAAAGCTGACTTCTTTTTGCAGCCTGCCTCCCCCCCCAGTAAAAATGAACAGAACCAAACAGGAACTTGCCAAGCCTTCTATGTGTTTTCCTGATTGTATATCGGGCGGCAGTTCCCTTAATTTCCCGACGAATGGTTTGGAAGCAAGTGGTATGATGGCTAGGGACAGGTTAGGAGTGGTTTCCCATTTACCCCCTACAAGAATTCAGGAGTTCAGATCCGAATCCACAACCAATCCAACCAACCAAGGCTGACAATGTTTAGTCGAGAGAGACGCTACCAGGTCAGTCTGTCGAGGAAGCATGCGCACCGCGGGCCATGAAAAGAGCTGGCAAATCTACGCACATGAGGTTGCGCCATACATGGATGTCTCTTTTTCAGGGCACCCCTTCTGGGTTTGTTTTAAGGGAAACCAAGGGCAACAATTAGTTTTTTGTGCGGAAGCCCCTTAAAAAAGAGACACGCATGGCATTTTTCAGGCTGGCTTCAACCCTTCCAGGAAGCCAGCCCTCGACTTGTATCAGCACCCTTCGACGCAGAATCACTCGAGATGTGAAGCCCTATGCGTGGTATCAACCTCTAGTTCATGGGTTATTTTTACAGTTCACGGCCTAAACCACGCACCAAAGAAGCCCAACTCGCAATGGGCTCAATGGGCCCTACCTGGGCTTGTGGGACTGTAGACCCCGCAAAGAATCCAACGGAGGGGGCCCTGAGCTTGATGCCAATAAGGCCCCAAAAACCAAAAACCCCAAGCTCTTGCAGGTGAGGGGCTTAACCTCTCAAGCAGTTCATGGTTTCGATTGCTGGCAGTCCTCGTTATATATATATAGTTATTTGTTTTATGTCATTTTTCTAAAGAAAAAAAAGAACGGAAAAAGAACAAGAAAAAGAAAAAGCATGCGTTCAAGTGAGCATCTCTGGAAAAGCGGCGAACACGCGGCTTTTGCAATCCCGAGCGGCTTGCCCACCACCGACACGGCCAGGTCCGTCCGCTTCGTGCGCTTCCTGAGTCAGCTGCGGATTGAAAACAGGTTTCATCAGCTGACCCTTAGCCTTCCATTTGGTGAAGACCCCAGGAACAAAAATATGCCCAGTAGTGATGAGTTCCTTTTGAAACCAACAAGGGAAAATTAAAACCTGTTCTTAAGCAAATGGAGGTTGGTGGTTTGGATTTGGATTTGACCCCTGTTTTTGCAGGGGAAATGGAAAACCAAGGGAAGCTGAAATTTGCAAGAATCACCACCATGGTGTTCTTTGATTCTTTCGAGACCGGGATTCTGAGGGGGGCTTTGAGTTTGTGTCCTTTGATCAGTGAATCAGTTAGGCCACATCTCCTCATACCCCGGAAACCACCTTTTCTGGCGGCCCATGAAACCCCCAAGCAACCAAGTTCCCTCCCGGCTCGGTTTTCTCCCCAGCCAGAAACATCCCCGGGTCCAAGTTACAGATCGGGCGTCGGCGACTGGGAACCCGGAAAGCCGAAACCCTGGTGGACGACTTGGGGCCGCGGTGCGCAACGCAGTTCAGAAGCGAAATTCGCTGGGGGAAACACCGGGGGAACTTCCAAGATGTTTGACCATGCGCCCATATCTCGGAGTCGATTTTACTTCCAAGTGGCAGGGGTAATTTGTAGGAGGAAACTCAATCATGATAATCCCAGCCAAAACGACATAAGACGTATCTGGGAAGAATACACGCATTCACAAACTCAAAATAAGGCATCCCTTCTCAATGTGGCACGTTGCTTGGCAATTGCGTCGTGACCACCCTACCGTCCAGAAAAACCAGAATCTTGCCGACTCCAGTGGTAAGCGTCCGCTTCTTCACCACGTCCACCCACTCAAAGTTGGGCTCCTTTCGTTTTCGGGATTTCGCATTCGGCTTATCCTCCTTCTCCTTTTCCTTCTCCTTCTCTTTCTCCTTCTCCTCTTTCTGGTCCTCTGTCATCTCCTGTTTCTCTCCTTCCTCCTCCTTCTCTTTCTCCTCCTGTTTCTCCTCCTTCTTCTCCTCCTTCTCCTCCTTCTCCTCCTTCTCTTCCTTCTCGTCCTTCCGAGTGCTAAATGCGATTTCTGGAAAAAACAACATCCCCTTTGGTTTCCCTTAAGGGAAATGAACATTGCATGCCACTCGCCCCCCGCCTTCTCCTTGCCATCCTTCTCCTCTTTCTCCTCCTTCTCCTCCTTCTCCTCCTTCTCTTCACTTCCCTCCATGTCCACATCCGTCGGAATCTCTCGCTTCTCTCGGACGGTCTCTTCGTACTCCTCCTGCGGGAAAGTTTGGTAGGCCTGGTTGTCAGCTGCCTCCCTGCCCGCACGTGTTAACCAGGTGTTCAGCAAAATGCCCACAAAGTAAACAACTGCTCTTGGGAATACAAACATGCGTGGCTCAAAATTAAAGAGCGAGGGGTACAGGAGTTTTAGTCTTTGGTTCCATTTGCCGAGGTGCCGTTTTGGTACAGTACACGGTTTAACCAGGTGTTCAGCAAAATGCCCACCAAAAAAAACAAAAAACTGATCTTGGGACTACAAACATGTGTTGGTTGCTGCTTTTAGCACCCGGTTGACCTGTTTGCCAGTGTTCCACGCTCAGTTTTCCTTCCAGCCGCCCAGTCCTCCTCCAACATCTGGGCCGAGTCGATGGTGAAGCTGCCATGCAGCTGCAAGCGAGCCTTCACCTTAACCTTCTTGTCCTCCGGAAGGGTGTGTGTTTTTTGGCTTACGAATGTGAGAAACAAAACATGTCTAACACAACCTCCGCAATAACCGGTTTTTGTAGGAGGGCTGGATGTTTTCAAGCAACCTTGCCCAATCCTGCCCAGGGTTGTCTTTTTGGAGAGAGAGGGCATAGCGGTCAACACACTCAATGGAAAAGACCAATACCTCCACCGGACGATTCTGGTGTGCAAGCAGATCCCTTGCCGAAAGGCGTCAAGTTTAAAACTTTTCCTGCGTTAAACGGGAACCCCCCGCTTTAAACCGCCTAAAAACAACGAAGCACCCGATGAACCGGACGGCGAACCGCCCAGTGTGTGGCTCACAAATGGCTTGGTCTCAGGGTTGGCATTCTTTGGCTTCACAAAGAGAACTCTTGGGAGGCAACATGCCCCTTGCTTGTGGTTTAAAGGAAAACGAAAGGAACGCCATTGCGCCGTGTGGTCCAACCTTAAGCAAGACAGCTAAAGTCAGGGGTTTGGACCCGTTCAAACCCAAAACCACGGGGCTCCAAACCACCTAAGGATTACGCACGTCCTAAGTGGATGGCCCCAAAAAAGGCCGAGCTGTCCGTTCCCACTAAAATGGTCGTCCCAAAAAGTACAAAGTCCATAAACTCGGGAAGAAAGACCACCTGACACTAAGAGAGACCAACGTGACCAACCCAATTTGCTTCCATTTGGTTAAGGGGGGAAAAAAAGAACTAGGTCCTCCAGTAGAGAGGTTAGAATAAGGGTACCAACTTTTGTTCTGTAGTCTATTTAGTAGGGGAACCCTCCCAACCAAAAAAAGGGTGAGAGGTCGGGCACCAATCGCTGGGGGACCTAGATGCTCACCTCAGAAATCTAAGCCGATCTCAAAGCTGCCCTAAACCAACCCTGAAAGACGAGTGAAGTCATCCGAGCCCAACACAACCTACAGTAACCAACTCTAACCTAGGCACTCCATTTGGGTTTCGCCCGTCCTCCGGCTGTTCGGGCAGCTCCACCTTGTACTTCCCCAGCTCTCTGCAGGTCATCGGCAGCAGCGGCGCCTCCTCCGCGAACTCCGCGGTGAGCTCGAAGGGGCCCTTCCGCCGGAAGGTCAGCATCTTCACCGTGTTCATCTGCCTTATGGCAGAAAAAGCCACGGATTTTGTTGCCTTAAATGTCTAGGGGTTGATTTAGTCTTTGGTTCCACTTCACAGGGTTCCATTTTGGGTACCTGGTCAGTTACTCGCTTCCGAACATAGGTGTCCTTTTAGGTTGGAAATAGATGGATTTCTCTGGTAGACTACAAAGTCCACCCAGGTAAACCAGGAATCGCCATCTATTTTTCTACCAAAACAACCAAAAAGGACACCTATGCTTCCATGGCGAAGAAGCCACGTGTTTTCGAGGGTTGAAGGAAAACCATAAAACAAAACTATCGTTTTGGGGGTCCCCCATAATTTGAAACATGCCTTAAATGGCGAAAAAGCAACCTTTCTGTGCATCTGCATTAAATGTCTAGGGGTTGATTCCATGTCCATTCTTTTCAGCCATTGTTCCTTTCAAACATGTTGAGTGGTTTTCTAGAAAGAAGGATCCCTGGAAAGAATGGGGAAGTTACCCCCAGAAATTGCGAAAAAACAATCTCTCTGTTCGAGAGTTGAAGGGAAACCAACAAAAAAGACATCATTGTGGGGGGTGCCCCATAATTTGAGACGTACCTCATTGTGAAAACTGGGCCTTATGTTGAACCCTAAACCCAGGATTTAGATACTGTCTAGAATAGCTCAATAGTCAACAAAAATGGTACCTAGCAAAGGAGAAAGGCCCCAACATCTTGTTTTTCTTCGCAGTGAAGCAAACAGCAAAAGGACATGTCTCTCGAAAACGAAAGGCCGCAAGAAGCCGAGCTGCGATCCTGCCGGGAAAATGGTGGCCTGGAGGAACGGGGAGAAACGACAAAAGTGGGCGGCAAGTGCGCATTTGATAGATTCCCTTTGAACGCGAGGGGACACGCAACACGGCCAAGCAGAGCAAAAACACGCGATTTCCCTCACTTCTCACAAGTCTTCTCGCGGGTTAGTTGCGTTTAGGGTCGGTGTAGGGTCGGTTTAGTGTCGGCCCTGGGTTGATTTAGGGTTAGTTTAGTGTGGGGAAAATGCATCATATTCCTAAGGAAATGGAAGGAAGCTGCTTGGATTTGACGCGAGAGCCCAATTTTTTTTTAAAAAAAAAATCGGCCGGTTGGGTAAAACCCGTCTCTGCTTCTATACGCACATCTACAACCCATGGCGTGTATGCAAAACACGACGCCCGCTTCCCAAGGGTGGAAAAACCGTTGGCGGGCCCCCGAAATTCGGAAAATTTGGAATTCGCCGCTTCCGTCGCTTCCGCAACAAACCACTAATGAGAGCACCAGCACAGGGCTCTCGGGAAAGAGCATGCTTATTCAAAGGAACACAAATAACTGAATGGAAACAACTTGTTTGACTTAGAAAACTATTTCTCACCGATCAGTCCATCAACTCAGAAAGTGAGCTCTAGATGTCCAACCTAACACAGGGATCCTTACCATTTTTTCCACCGATCGAACATTGCAACTTGTAAATGGTGGTGTCCAACTTTATTTCGGTGTGGAAAACGCGACATGTTTCAAATGGTTGCAAAAGGAATTTCTGTAAAGGAGCCCCTGTAACATCACGGAAGGAAACGCACAGCAGGCCATCCCGAAGAGTGGTCTTTCACAGCGCCCTTGAAAAGGTTCCCGCCAACATCCATACAAAATTGGCATCTGGTAGAGGGAATTAAAGGAAGCCTAAGCCTGTCACATATTGTCAACTTTTGCGTTATCAAAATTTCCGAACGGCTTTTAGCTCGGTCAGGCCAAGCCCTTGAATGTGCCAATGCGCTTAAACAACTTATGGCGACGGCCTCCTGTTGCGAGACCCTTTGGGGGCTGGTTGGTTAAACACAATTTGCAACCTGCACAGGCTTGGAGAGCTCCCGCTTCGAGTACTTATTTGGCTCGTGCGAGACGACCTCCTGACAAGCCGGCCAGTAAACCACTAGGCCTTTCCCAAAAACGAGGTCTAGAACCTCACATATGAATCTCAATAGGACCATGGGAAAACCAGAATCAGATCCGATCGGGAAAGCACAACTGAGAATGATGGTTTGGGACAAGTCAGTCGAGGCAAATGCCAAAAGCCTCAGCTTAGCTTGGTTGACGTTGGAAGGGGATCAAAATTCTAAATTTTAGCAGTTCAGTGGGGATTTACCACTAAACCACAATAAGCAAAAATGTAAAATGTGTCCCAACGACAACCACGTTACCCACAGGTGAAGACATGCAACGCGTCAGTCGGTGTCCCTCGCCTTCTTCATCTCCTCCGCGTTCTCGTCGCCTTCCTCTGGGGAGCCAAGCCAGCCGACCGTCACCGGAAAGGGCGACACGTCCCGGACCTCGAAGTCCCGGACCTCCGCGGCAGAGCGCCGCTGACGGGATGGGGGGATGGGGCGGTTTACCAAATGGCGGAAAACCGGAAAACCGGGGATCTGCGGTAAAATACCGGGGAAATGGGGATAAATCCAAGGGAAACCACCGGGGATCTGCAGTATACTCGCAAACAGGAAAACCAAAGGAGTCAGAATCAAAACCGATCGGTGTTAAAATCGTCTACCCAAATCCATGTAAGAAAACTCAACGGCGGCAACTATGTCTGGCTGGGAGTATCCCTAACCTACCCGGGTTTTGATTTGTGGCTCAAATAGGGAGAATCAAGGAACACACGAGGATCTTCGGCAGTCCCTCGCGCTTCCTCACAATACCCTTCTTTAACTAGAGGTTTACATGATGTGAAAAAAAAAAAAACAGAAACACACACACACACACACACACACATCAGCAAAAAAGGAAACGAGAGAAAAAAACAAGTAAGACTCGCCATGAAAAAAACAACACGTGAACAACCCGAACATTAAAGCACCAAACTACGTTTCACTTACTGAGCGGCTTGGCCCAAAAAGGTATACCTTTTACCACCAAAAGGGGCTTCCCCGAAAAAAGAAGCAGAAAAAGAACAAAAAAAAAAGAGAAAACAAAAACATGTGTAAAGCCCAGGAACTCAGGAAGAGAGATGTTCAATCAAAAAGGCGCAAGGCAACAGTGGAACAAAAACACACAGCACAACAAACAAACAACCGCGGAACAAAACCCAGCGGAAAAAAAAAGCCACTCAACAAGCCCCGAACAGAAAACAACGGCGATATAGTCGGCGCGCGGGTGCCTTGTAGAGAGGCGAAAGCATGGCCGCCTGTAGTGCGCAGCCCCGCGCCACAGACTCCTCCTGGTTCATGGTGGTGGACAAGTCCTGGAAGGATTTCTCTCTCTGCCGGTCATGCCACGAGTCAGTTTTCTCCCAGCCGGTCATGTTTTGTTTGAGTCTCTTCATTTTGACTCGGGTTTCGTCATGTTGGTGGTTTGGTGGCCAAGGTTTCTTTCCTCATTACCCTCCACAACAACTCATTTCGAGTGCTTCTGTTTTTCGAACATACCTCGTTTGCAGCGGTTTTCAGCGGATTTCCCAACAGGAAGCCCTTTGCCATTCACGGAAGTCCCCTGCCATTCTGGTGGATTCTGAGGGTTGGCTCCCCCTGGGGCAGGCAATGCCCCCCTATCCTAAGGCCTGCCGTCATGTCCTAGGCTGCTTTGAGGTTGCTTAGGTTCAGGTGGGGGTTGGTCTTCGGAGGCTTTGGGGTTTAAGGTGGAGTGGGTTGGGCTGGGTGTGTGGTTGGTTTGGGGTTGAGGGTTGGCGTGTTCTTTCGGGTGGGCGTAGCCTTGGCTTACAACCACCAGAGCAGCCCACCTACCAACCGATCAAGCGCGGGGAGACAGACAAAATTGCGGGAAACTTCGCCAAACCAACCCTCAACCCACAAACCAACCATACACCCAGCTTGCCCAAGCCACCCCTACCTGAAACCCTCCGAAAACCAAACCCTCAAACAACAAGAGACACCCACATGGCAACAGATCCCTTTGTTGCCTCGCTTTTCAACCCACCAAAATGCGGTCTGCGGACCCAATTGAATGGATTCCGGCCCCTTCCAACGCAACAAAGCCAACAATATTTTGCGAGAAGCCTTCAAGATGTTCACCTAACAGGCTTCTACCAGGATCACTCGGCAACTGTAAGAGTACAGGTCTCCTGGTGAATTCGTGTCATGGACCAAGGGGGCGAACAGCGAGGGGAGCAATAGCTTCAACCCTTGACAAAACTGTCGTGGCTTGTCAATACCCTGGGCTTGTCCTGGACAAGTCCTGCAACCATTTCAAGAGCCGCGCGCGGTTCCCAGCTGACCGGGGCAACAAGCGCTGAGTGAGCGGAGGGGCTTGCAGCTACAGAAGCCTAAGAAGCAAAGCCGGGTCTTCCAAAGGAGATTCCCCCAAAAAGGACAGCGCCAATCCGTCGGCAGCGGCTGAGGAACAAAGAGATCGCCACTCACTTGCCCGGATCCAGAAATGAAACTCATCACCTTTCGGCGCCATGACTAAACAGAAACCAAGAGAGAGAAACCGAAACGTCAAAAGCTCGGCTTTGGACAAGTGGGTGGATGGTCCCACATGTCTTGCAAACCTATGGACTTTGGGTTCTACCAACATGGTCACGGTATATTAGAGAGGCTTGAGGACTTCAAAATTTGGCACCTTGGGTGGGAGAGCATCTCCCCCCCAAAAGAGCCGAGAGAGCCTATCACAACTTGGCCAAAGGGGCACACAGAAAATGACCTCGCGCATGCTCCATATTTAGACCACCAAATATGATATACTCATGGCTGTGGGTCCAAAAAGGGTACCCAACACGGAGCCCTGGTAAATGGAAACCTGTACTAAAACCTGTGGTCCCCTGGTTTAATTTTGACCCGTACCCATTTTTTGGACCAACTCAAGGTTGACTTAAACCCAGCTCTGCATGTATTGCCCCAGAAGGAAACCCTCCTAGATCCTCCAGTAGAGGGGCTTGAATTAGGTTACCCTTTTCTCTGTAGTCTATTTTAGTAGGTGAGCCTCCCCCAAAAAAGGCTCAGAACGGGCACCTAGCTGGCAAACCTAGCCTCCGATTTGGGGATTCTAAGATCCCATCCCCCGCGAACCCATCTCCGCCGCTCCTTGCCGCCGAAGGCTTCGGAGCACAACTTCTTGACCCAAGGCACACGGCTGCCACCCCCCACGATCTCCACCGAGTCGATCCTCGGAAAATCCGCGTCGCGGGTTTCCGCTTCTCTCCAGATTTGTGTATGACATTCAATGGGCCCCTGGCACTTTGGTGGAATTCAGGTTGGGATGTGTGGAGAACCCACCAGCGAGAACCCTCGAATGCTTTGAAGCAACGAAAGGGGGGATGACCCGAGCCCCCTTTCGCTGGGGATGAGAGTTGCTCCAAAGATCAGGGAGCATTTCGAGACGGCAAATCACCAGAACTCACCAAAAAAAGAACATTCATGCCTGAGCTCGTTGTTTGCGAGTGAGCCCATCAAAACAATCATCTGCAATGACGGTCCCCTACGGCAGGAGCCCGCGCTTGCGCACACATCCCACAAGGACAAAAGGTTGAGTCAAGTCTGGTGTTGAAAGAAACAAATGGCAAACCCAAAACATGAAACAGACTAGCTAAGTCATGGAGAAGCCTTTTCTCCTCGCAAGCCATGGCCCTCCGGCCGACTTTCGGGGAGGTTTGACCACAGAGACAAGTGGCCAGTTGTGTGGACATGGGATATGGTTCTTGAAGTCTTATCCATGCAACAATGTTTGAGAGCCACAGCACGGGGAGTCACTCGCCACTGGTCCTTACTGGCCCTATGAGTCACTACTAGGCTGCAGTGGCCGGACATGTTTTTTGTGGGAGTGCTCAACTCACTTCCAGAGTGGATGGTCCAGGCCAAGTCCAATTTGTGTTTGCCACCAGCATGGCCTTTGAACCCCACAAAGAACTCGGGACGTGAGTAAAGTGCACCCGGCTTCTGAAATTCAGTGTTACATCACATCTTTTTAACAGGTTTCCACACTCAAGGAACCCCCGTCCCGGGGTTTGGACAATGGCGGATATCCGACATGTCATGTAGAAAAAACACCACGAACCTACAAACAAATAATAGAATGTGGCCTCAAGAAGGGTCTAATCCCCCGAATAGCCCTCCTCCAGAGTTCCATGAACACGGGTTGTGGGCTCTGGTATCAGAAGCAAACCCAGAAAAAGCTGCAATGTTGCATACTGTCAGTGATACAAGGATACACGATCTTGGATGGGCTTCCCTGAAGAACCTACAACAGGGCTCCCTATATTTCCCCTTAAAACATCACCCCCACCAAGGGCTGCTCACCTTTCATGGACCAAAAAGGTGATGTTTAAAACCACCAAAAAGGGAAATAGAGCTGGACCCCTGTACAATAAGTACCAAACTGAGGGTATTGAAATAATGTTGTCCAGGGAACAGCCCTTCGAAGGGAGAAGGGTCCTGCCAAAAAAAGGCAGCAAACAAAGCTCATTAACTGTTGCTTCCACTAACATGTTTATAATAGACACTTCACAGCCCTTGGTATGGCCGCAAAAAAAAGAAAAAAAGAGCTGTTCTTGGCAGCCCGCCACTAAACATGAACAGAACAAATCAAAAACACAACTTGATCCAAGAACAGTCAAGGACTGATTTACTATACGCCCTCCCCCCCAAGACAAACCAGGCAGCTATCGCAGCATCTGGTCCAATGTTTGGCCAGGTCAGAAAGTTCTTTTGACCAAAGCGCCCCCAGGTGGAGTTAACCCCGCTACAACCCAAAGTGGCTAATCACCTTGGCCAAACCATCCAGTGATATTCCCCTTCGGTTCCATACAAAGGGAAACACAGGAAGCCCTGTCGACCAATGCCAACATCAGAGTTGGAGACTGGTTTATGAGGTTGCCGTTTCACAATCAGGCCATTTCGAAGTTCGGAAAAGCTCCGCCTTTCCCATCTCTACAGCCAGGGAAACCCCTACCAAGCTTCGAATCAACATCTCCTCCACCCCGCCCCGCCCGCCCCGGAAGAGCGAACTCGACGAACGCTTTGACGAGGCTTCGACGACTTCGGCCGAGGCGCTGCTCCAACCCCAGGCCCGAAGCTTCGATGGCGCCCTTCAGCACCGCCTTCGCGCTCGCTCGCGAGAGGTCGGTGCCGAGCGCTCGAACACGACAGCGCGGTGGCGTTTTCGCGGCGAAGGCGAAGGCGCCGAGGAAAAAACCGGGAGAAATGGGAAGTTGATTACTCCGCGCCCTGGGAAACCCCCTTTTCTTAAAACCAGCCGGCAGTTTGACTCAACCAATCCAAACCAAGGGTCATAGTCAGCTTTTTCCTCGTTGCTCAACAAGCACCAGGGGTTCAAATCCGAATCCAAATTGATGGCCTGGAGCGCTGGACAAAACAAAAAAGGTCCCGTTAAAACCAGGGATTCCAGCGAATAATAGCAGCATCATCGCTGGGCGCTAGTGAAACCGATTCCCTTTAAAAACAGGGATTGTTGTTCAACATACTAACAAATGGGAGGAACACTCACTTCCGATCGATCGGATTGGCCAACGAGAGTAACCAAACTGCTTATGCGACTCAGGGAGTGTCCCCACTAAACCAGGAACACACTGACTTCTTTGTTCTTGGGGCCTTCTCCTTCTGTCCTTTTCCCTCCCTCCCATGAATCGCTGCGAACAGACTCTGTGCGCTACGGCCTTTAGCTGGGGGTTGATCTGGTTGGATCCAAGCCGCCGGGTGGTACATTGGCTGTCGGAAATGGGTGTGGTTGTCAAAAATAGGGTAACCCCAAAATGGCTTGCCCGATCGGTAAATGGAAACATGGACCAAAACCTGCGGTCTATTTCCTGGTGGCGGAAAATCTTGACCCATACCCAAATAGTTGGTACCAGAACATCGCAAATCGGGAGAAACCCCCCGATCTGAACATGAAACCAAGGACTAAAACCCCGCGCGCGGTAGTTGAATTTCGAGCGGTCACTGAGGAATCCCCGACTTGGCACCAGCAGGTTTGTGGAAGAGACTGAAACCTGCGGTTTGCCCCGGCTGTAGGATATGGCTGCTCAAACGGAGTAACTGGGCTAGGGGCGGCCTGCCAAAACAGACCCTAACCATTGATTTCTGGGTCAACTGCTGAGCTCATGATTTTGACTGTTTTTAGGGGTTTTCGAAGTGAGAAAATGTGGTCCTTTAACCCACCACAGAACGGGGGCGTCCTATCCAAATAGGTCAGTGGTCTCCCTTAACTCCCCTGAAAAAAAAGGTGCCCTTAACAAGGACACACCCATATACCCCCCACAAACTCAAGAAACCCAGCAAAGGGAATCGGTCCCATTTGTTTAAAAGGAGGTTGCTCTAGGAATAATGACGTGGGTTCCAAGTTAGTCTGTGGGATATAACCACGGTAGCTGGGTCTTTTTCTGAAGGGGTCCGTATCACTTTTGGATGTCGCCAAAGACCCCTCTTTGCGAGGGGAAACCAAAGGAACCTAAAGCCTTTTTTGGGTACCCCAATTTTACACACTCCCCTACAAGCGAGGGAATTGGGTTAACTTGGGTTAGTGCCACTATGGATTTGTTGGTCTCCACGAGAGTTTGGATTTCAACCCCAAAAAAGTGGTTTCCAGCATGTTGTCCCCGCCAAGCTGAAAAGGGTGGCTTGGTGGCTATTGTCCTGCACAGAACAATGTTTGGTGGGAAACGGGCTTCCTTGTTTGTTGGTGCGGGGGGCGGGGGGGATGGCAACAACCTACCAACGTAAATTAAGAAATTCCAGAGAAAGACACCTGCATCGTGAGTGAGTTCGTTTTACTGATCGGTGAGCACATGCTTGGTGCAAATGAATGAATGCCTGATAGTACCACAAGAAGAAACCAAACGATAGTTCTACCCTTGAAAGATTTGGCCAACTTGTCTGAGAAACTCGGAGCAAACCCGCCAACTCTGAGAACATGAAGGTGGATACTACTTACAGGGGCAGGGTACTTGGCAAGTGGCAAGCCTTGTTATAACCCAATTAGGACACTTATAACCATGCTAAGTGGGTGAAAACCAGGTTTACTAACCACTTGCCTGACTTACCCGATCGCCCCTGTAAGTGGAGTCCCCAGCTTCTTGGTTTGACATCTGATGAGAGAAATTACTCGCCATGACCCTTCCCCTCAAAACACCAAGCAACTGCAAATAAGTCAAAACAAGAAAGCGGATCCAAATAAGTCAAACACACCGAGCAAATGCCAATAAGTCATAACCATGGTATGAAAAGGAGTCTGTCAAAAACCATGGCAGACACAAAATACAGGCGGCAAGCCGCACCATGGCAAGGGGACAGTTCCCTACTCCCCCAACCAACCGGATTTGATGGTGGCCGTCTTACCGCGCGCAGCCACCCCATTCCTTTTCCGGGCCCTGGCTCCAGCCTTGACACGGTCCATCATTGGGGCGCACATCCTGCCGAAAGACCAGAAAGAAAACACATGGCTGTGGGTCAAAAATAGGTACCCGAAATGGAACCCTGTGTAAGTGGAAACATGGACTAAGACCTGCGGTCTCCTGGTGATTGAATTTTAACCCATACCCACATGTTGACAGATGCTTCATCCCCGGGCTCGTTCTGAAGGGCTTCCTTCCAGTGGGGATTCCTTTCTTCCAGACTCCCCTGAGTAATAACCGAGATCGGGTGATTCATCTCAGGGCTCGGTCGGCATGCTTTGCGATTTCGCGGATCCAACTCAATCCCAGTGAATCCCAGTTACCATTGGTGTCCTTTTAGGGGAATAGATGGGTTTCCCTGGTAGATGATTGAACCACCAGGTAAACCAGGAATCGCCATCTACTATACCAAAACAACCAAGAAGGACACCTATGCCAGTTACCCTCTCTCGCGGGTAACCAGCTCTACGTCCTGTTGCTTTTCTATTGGGGCCCAGGGTGTTGACCATGGCACCATGGCTCGCCACAGCTGCCTCCATTGATCATCCCGCCTCATTTCTGATGTGATGGGGGTTCCCAACAAAAGGGACATGGAAGTACAATTCAATTGCAGGGGTCACCGCCCTCCCGCATTTCCAGTCCATTCTTCGGGTGGGTATATGGGTGTGTTTCCTTTCGAGGGTACCATTTGTACTGGTTCGGGAACCACGCGGAAAGCCACGAAGGTTGCTTTGAAGCTCCTTATGGGCCTCTCTCATGGCTTTCCGGGACGGAAGCCTCAGCTGAAGCTTGAGGTAAATCAGCTCGGTCTTTTTGAGGGCACTCTGTTTGGGGTTCAAAGGAAACCCAAAGAAACTCATTTTGGTGGCCAGAATGAAGACGCGCCCAAATCGGATGTCAAGGGGAAACCCCCAAACTGGTCCACATCGGGTACCTCCCAACTTGGACTCCAAGTTGGGAGGGGCACTCCCAAATTCGTGCGCAAAGCGAACAGGCCTGGACAGATTCTCAGATCATCCCACTGATCAAAACAAACTGGAATAACCCAGAACCCATCCGAGCTGATTTGCCTGTCCCAAAAAGGCAGCCTGCTACTTAGAATGCGTGCAACATGCTATCAAAACTAATATTACTTAAAACTCCCCAAAACCCATAGATTGAAGAGGCCGGCGAAATTCGACTCACCCAAAGACCCGTTGTGTTTTAGAGGGCGAACATTGCTTTTCTCGCCGAGTTGTCTTGCTTTGTGGAAACCCCTGGTTTGTGGGAGAAAAGAGATCGGTGCGCTTAAGGGAGAAAGGGAAAGCCAAAAGCAACACCGAACCTCTTTGGGAGGTCCAATTCCTTAAAAAGTAGAGAGCTTTCAGCGGGCTCCCTCCCCCCCTCCAAACCCATGGCAAAACAAATATATATATATATATAACCCACAGGGTCCAAACACCTTCTGAGGAGGGGTTTGTGGAAACCATTTCTGAGCGGGGGGTTCCAGCCAACATTCCTCCAGCATGGCTTTAGCATGCTGAGGCCGTGCTCCTGGCACAATGTGTGGTTTTCCTTGCAGGCATGATGGCTCATTGCTGGATATATAGATTGGCCATTATAAGCAAAGATCATCATGATCAGAGATCTCTCCAAAGTCCCATGCCCACAGTACCATATCCTCGATCAACCTTGAATCTAATTGAATCTAATTTGGCTAGAACTTAGCCAGACGCAATGGGGCTTCTGCGCTTTGCTTCGCTGAAAGGTCTTGCTGGCACAGCTTATTGCATGGTTGCATGCAGCTTTGCACGTGGCCTTGACCCGGTTCGCTCGCAGCTCTTTTTCATTCAAGTGTGCTGGTCGCGGGCATGGCAGACTCCAAGCCTCAGGGGCGCGTGATTTCGCACCCGATGCGGGTGCTGGTGTCAGTGCCACAGCTTGATATATGCTTCATCTGATCATTGTTGCAATGGGGTCTAAATTCATTATTAGCCCAGGAAGTTGCTGATGCAATTGCAGCATCACTGATGCCCTTTGTGGAGGGCAAGATTGCTGACATCTGCGCCACAGATGCCCCTTGAAGTTTAATAAAAAAAATGTGGGTCGATTTCAGTTTGGACTTGACTAGCGCGTCATGATCATGATCATGAATTTGCATGTTTGCAACCAGTGGTTGTCCTAAACCTCGAACTTCAAAATCAAAAGCCGTGGCATGGGCATCGATTGGGCTGAGGACAGAGCTATTGTGTCCTGGGATGGAGCTCGAACCTCTGTTACCTGGGCCGCATGCGGGTACCTGGTTGAACGTTTAAGAGCCTCCATGATGTTTGACACACCTTGCATGCACGCAGATTCATCGCTGAGAAGTCGAGTAGCTATATCATGCTTTTATAATTAAGTCATGCTGTGCTGGACTGCTGAGGCTGGCATTTGCGAGGATGATTTGGTGGCAAATTACTCGATGCTGCGGGACTTTTACATCGATCATTCTGCACATGCACTGGCCTCATTGGAGGACTTTAAGGCCACAGCAGAATATTACAAGCATGACTAGCAGTGGAGGGTAATTATCATTTGATCCCAGCTTTGAACAGTGTTTGTCAGGCGGCCTTCCTCGTCATTGCCCTGTCCCACAATTTTTGGTCTCTGGAACTGTTCCGGAGAAAGGGTGGCAAAGGAAAGGTTCGGGATCCTTGAATGCATCAACTTAAATTGCACTTCGAATATTAGCATGCCATTGCAATTTGTTGGGCCCTGCCACCATGCTAGGATTGGTCTGCTAGAGAAGCAACTCGCTTTCGAGCCCTGGCTGCTCATGGAATCCGGATCACCTATCGGACAAGGTCTGCCAGGCTGGGGCTGGGCAGTGGATGGGGATCCGGGCTTTCGAAGTACAGGATGTGCTGCATGTAGCCTGTGAACTTTGCACATGCTTTGCAGGCACATGAGTGTCCGCCTGTTGAAGATGATCGTTGCCCAGAATCGAGATTTGCCGCCAAAAAGCATTTCGCAGGCCACTCATGATCATGACTGCATGCTTTAATGTTGCAAATATTGAATGATGAATTGGACTGATTTGTGTTCGTTTAAACTTGCAGTTGCAACACATGCATGTGGTACACATTCCGTGCCGAATTCATGAGAAATTTGCTGGCCGGCAGGCATCTCTATCCACTTCGCCAGACTCTGATGTTGAATATGAAGATCCTGGCCAGGACACTGTAGTTTGAATTCTAAATTATATATGCATTTGCATTCCCTGCTAGCCACCATGCCAATTTGAGCCCTGGAAAGCCAACACTTGCCAGTGCACATGCTAACTGGGGATCCGGAGGATGAGCCCCTTGAGGGAGTTGCTGATAGTCATCAAGATGATGATGCTGATATCGATGATATCGATGAAGAAGATCCCGCACAGGAGTACTCATAAGCCGTGATTGTCTGTCATTCGAATTCTAACATGAGTTGGAATCTTCGAAGAGTATGACCTCTGCAGGAGCTTGCCTCCAATCCCATCGATGATGGGCTTCACTTGCCAGAGAATGGGGCCACCCCATGCATGGACAAAGAGGGCCCTGAGCCTGAATCTGGGACCGACCTGGCCGTCCCTGCAGCCAAAAGTCTTGCTTTGGTGGCTGTGGCGCCAACCGAAAACCCGCCAACCAATCCCACAATGGAGGCTCCAGCAGATCCCGAATCTTTGCCCGAGGCGAAACACAGCTTTGCATTCATGCCAGTGGATGTGATCACGACATTGTCACCCGCCCATGGTCAGGCCTCCAGTGCTGATCTCGTGATTGCAACTGGGCCGAGACCGGGCCCTGCACGTGCGGCTGAGTTGGAGGCACCATGGCCATATAATATATAGCATCATGCATCATGAGTACCCTAGTTGACGGTTGAACCAAATCAAGACACCTCTAGTCTGACACAGGCAAGGGGGGCTTTGATCAATGCTTCAGATCTACCACCAGCACTGGTGATGATGGATCCCAAAGATATCTTAAGGGGAACAACTTCGACATCCATTTATGCGGCACAGGCAAGCATGAGGTTTCAGAAGAAAGAGGATATTGCCTGCATGCGTCACAACATGTCATGACACATTGCAGTCTGTTTTGTTGGGTTTCGGGGAGTTCCATGTGCACTGAAAACTTGGCAGGACGACATCAAGGCCTCGAATCAAAAGCTGGCTGGGAAAGAAGCCAGAAAACTGGAAGCAGATCAAAAAAAGGCTGCAGTAGCTGAAAGGAAACAAGCAAGGCTGCAGGCCAAAGCAGACAAGGAGATGCAAGCCAAAGCAAAGAAGGAGAGGAATAATGAGCCAACTGCAGCTTCGGTGGTTGAAAAGCAAGACAAAAAGAAACGCAAGTCCGAGCCCAAGCCTCCAGCAGTTCCAGTTGATGGTACCGGTGACCAGCCTGATGCCCAGCCGGTCGACAAGCCCAAAAAGCAACGTTCGACCAAGCAGGAGCCAAACACGGACAAGTTGGAAGCTGCAAAGGCCACTCGCCAAACAAATGCCAAAATTGGCTTGGAATGCTTGATCACAGCTGCGGTTCCTGGCCTCAAGCCTCCGAGCGAGGATTTCTGTGGCTTGAACCTTGGCTTGGAAACACTAGCCCTAAGTTGCACATAAACTAATTATACATCGAATCAAACACTTGCATTGCATGTATGAGCCCAGGAGCTTTACTTTGTCATGCCCCTGGCCAGTTGCTGGAGATGCACAGCCAAAGTCGATTGGTGTTGTTTTGTATTCCCGCTCATTTTACGTGCGGGAAATGCTGCAGCCAGTGCAGCTTTTCCAAGTTGCTTGATTGCACAATCCCCATCGATGTGTAGTTTGCAATTGGCAATTGCAATTATAGCATATGCATGTGTGTCAAAGGCCAACGATCTGATGTTGACACTCGATTGATATCCAAGGTCCCGGACAAGAAGGGGGGTGTCACCATTCCCTGGGGTGCCTTCCTATCCCTCAGTGTTGCGACTCGTGGCTGCAACACGCATGTACATGTGGAGCACAGTGCACT